TTTCACATTTAAAAAATATTTTGCTAGTTTCAGCGGTGAAGATTCGATATGAAATGTAGAATATTTCATTCAAGTTATTTGTGCCTTTAAATATGGCGTCCTGCGAAGGGGTTTTCCTGCTAAAACAATATTGCACTACAATCAACAGGTGATAGCAAAAGTTTTCATAATTTCAGAAATATTTTCAAACAAAATATGTCCACAAAAGCTCTCAATCGACTCTCGCAAATTATATTTTTTTAATCGAAAAATTATAAGCGATAAATTCTGTTGAGCAGCTTAAAATGGTATCACAAAATGATCATACATCCTACAGTTTTTTTTCCAAAAGAATTGTTGTCTAGACATTTATCCGAAATTTTTATTTTATATGAAAGCGAAAAATATAAATATACGTACTCCAAAGCCTAAGAAATTGCAAGGAATCCGAAAAATCGCCACAAATTCGGTATTAGGATTCCATTTTTATTCCTCAATATTTATCCCCTATCGATTTTTTGGAGTCGCGAGTAAGTTTTGAATGTGTTCGCTCAACATGCTCAATAATTTTCAGATTCTTTTAATTATCCAGATTCCTGATGTCTATGCTTCTAATCAGATCGAAGTCCCTTCCAATACATTCATTTGTATTCAATTTCTACAAAAAAAACACCTCCGTCGAATTCTTCCTTTATATTTTCTCATTATTTTCTATTTTTCTCTGCTATAGGCGTTTCTATACTTTTTTACTTGAAAATTTTCTGAAAATGGCTTCAATGAGTTTATTTTCGTATCAAATTATCGGACAAACTAGTTATTTTAAGAATGAAAGCTGAATTCTCAAAAAATAGAAAATCGTATATTTATTCATCACCTTTTGACTTATTAGTCAATAAATGGTTTTTCAATTCAATTTTCCTATTACAATTGTATATTCCTAATTGAATTCCATTTTACGATTTATAGCCTTCTTCTGTACCGAGCCTCTCCGTGGCGAAGAAGATCAACCACACCACCTTACAACTCTAGCTAGTAGATTTGGTCACTACTAGTAGGTGTTCTTGTGGGCTAAGAGGTACACCGCCTCCCGCAGGTCGGAGGTTTCGTCCACAACTCTCCTCCCTAAAGGCTCAACTTTAGCCCAGCAAGCTACTGTTGGGTATCCCAGGGGCAACCACAAAAGCTACAAACAGCCTTCAAAACTGCCTTAGTTCTCCGCACTCGGCCTCCTCATCAGTTACGGTAGATGCTGATGAAAGTCGAGAAAGGCGATCTAATCTCGGAGTCAGCACCGTCTACCTTCAACCAATCCAGGAACACCGGAAACCCCACCAAACCCGAAAAATCAACGCCCGAATCGCAACATTCAACTGCAGATCATTATCCAACGGAACAAGACTCGAAGAGCTGCTAAACGAGACGCAAAGAATCGAGTACGACATCATTGGCCTCGCAGAGACGAAAAGAGCATCAGAATCCCACGAAACACACATCGACGGCACCGGAGTATTTCTCGGATCCAGAAATGCTTCCTCAACATCTGGCGGTGTTGGATTCATTGTCCACCGACGTCTTATGAAAAGTCTAAAAGAAGTCGTATTTGTCAACGAAATGATCGGTTATCTCAAGTTCATGGTCAACAAACGCTTCGATTGCACCGTTTTCCAAGTCTACGCTCCGATTGCTGATACTGATTACGAAGAACTAGCGGATTTCTATGAAAACCTCGAAGATCTATACCACAACAGTAGAAGCAAGTTCAAGTTGATAATCGGAGACTTCAACGCAGGAATTGGAGAACGAAAAGCTCAAGAAAAATACATTGGCACCAATTCGATGGAACCACGGAACGAATCAGGAGAACTGCTAGCCACATTTTGCGAATCAAACAGAATATGGCACACAAATTCGATGTTTCAAAAGCCTCCGAACAAACGCTGGACCCACGTGAGCCCCAATGGAAACCATAAGCACGAAATCGACCACATTTTATCAAATGGAAAATTCGTAACCGATGTGAACGTGCTCCCCTCTTTCACCACGGGAAGTGACCATCGCCTGCTTCGCTGCAATATCCATTTCAACATCAAGGAAACCAAGTCAGCTGAAACCAGGAAGAGAATGCCACCAAGAAAATGCCTTGATTCCAAAATTGCTGCTCAAATCACTACCGGAGCTCACCTTCCCACCACCCCAAATATCGACGAAGACTACGAACATCTGATATGCTATCTTCAAAGTCTTCAAGAACAAGCCCTCATCAAGCCTGCAAATCACGCCACAAGGAGAATCTCCGAAAACACGAAGAAACTGCTCGCCAAACGTCGCTTCATGAACAGAGACGATCCCACATTCAAATTGCTATCGGAACAATGCCGAACAAACTTGAGGAAGGACCACGATGAATACGCCAAAACCCGACTCCTTTTCGCGGCCGAAAAAAGAATGAGTTTGGAAAAAGTCGCTCGCGACATAAATCAGTTCAAATCAACAATTCCATGCCTCAAGAGCAGCACCACTGGAGCAAGGATAACATCAAGAACAGGTATCGAAGAAGAAATTGGAGCCTTCTACAGCAGTTTGTTCGCTAGCCACATGCTCCCGCCACATCCTACCGCTCCACCCGACACGTCTCAAACACCATCTTTTCTCCTTGCCGAAGTAAAGCACTCGCTCAAATCTTTTGCAAACGGAAAAGCAGCCGGAAGCGACAAGATCTCGGCCGACTTTTTGAAACACTGTGACGACTCAATTCTTGAACTGATCGCAAATAGATTCAGCTGGTACCTCAAATCAACATCCATCCCTAATGCTTGGAAAACATCAAAAACCAGCCTGATTCACAAAAAAGGAGATAAAGAAGATCTTGAAAACTATCGCCCCATAACATTGTTATCAGTTTTATACAAGCTCTTCACAAAATGCCTCCTGGCGAGAATGCGAAACCAACTTGAAGAAGCCCAACCCGTCGAACAAGCAGGTTTCCGCCGTTCCTTCTCTACAATGGACCACATTGGCACAGTTCAAAAAGTACTCGAAATTGCTCGTGAACATAACATGCCTATTGCTCTTGTCTTCATAGATTTCCACAAAGCGTTCGACAGCGTCGAACCTAGAGCAGTATGGGAAAGTCTGCGCCAACAAGGAATTGATGAAAGCTACGTCAAAATCCTCGAAGCTTGCTACACCGATTGCTCCACAACCTTCCGACCCTTCTACAACAACATAGACGTTCCGATCACACGAGGTGTTAGACAAGGAGATCCCATCTCTCCGAATCTATTCTCCGCTTGCCTGGAAGGAGTATTTCGACAGCTAGACTGGTCGAATTTTGGAGTCTCGATTGATGGCAAGAAGTTAAATCATCTACGATTTGCCGACGACATCGTACTCATCAGCCACACACCTCAAGAAGCCACGGAAATGCTAGAAAATCTGGTCGATGCGAGCAAAATAGTTGGTTTGAAAGTCAACGAAAGGAAGACCAAATCTATGAGAACATCTCTTTGCGACCCGTTGCCGATTTCTATTCACGGATACCCAATCGAAGATGTAGAAGAATATGTTTATCTAGGCCGCCAACTCAACCCTCGGAATGAACTCCTCCCCGAGCTTCATCGAAGACTAAGAGCCGCATGGGCGGCGTTCAACAACATCAGATCGACCACCGACCACATCACATGCGCTAAAACTCGAGCCCAACTATTCGACAGCCACGTTCTCCCCTCGCTTTGCTATGGAGCTGAACAATGGACCCTCACGAAAGCTTTGGCAAATCGCCTTCGTGTAACGCATGCCTCATTAGAAAGAAAGTTGGTTGGAATCACCCTTCTGGAACAACGAGAAAGAGGATATCATGGAACGGACATCCGCCAATTATCAAAAGTGAAAGATCCAATCAAACACCTAGTGGAATCAAAACTGAGATGGGCCGGACATGTAGCTCGAAGAACAGATGGAAGATGGACAACGTCGACTATGGAATGGTATCCCAGAGACTGGAAACGACCGGTAGGAAGACCACCGATGAGATGGAACGACTCGCTGAGAAAGAACCACTGCGTACGAGACCGGAACAACCGCATCGTCAAATACTGGACAACTCGAGCTAAGGACAGAGCCGAATGGAAAGCTGTGATCCGCGCTGCAAGCGAAGGACGGATCGACTAAGTGACTAAGTAAGTAAGTTATTTGATAATATGTATTATTGGTAATCAAATACATTCATTATATGTATACGTTTGTCTACTACTTATTTTAGCAGCTATCAGTTTCAAAATTTTCCATTTTCGAATGGCAATGTACAAGCGCAAGATCTATGAATTTTTCATAGGCGAGCCGCTTCAATTTAGGTGATTTTATGCCATTTTAAATTCAGAAATTGTGCTCGACATGACGGAAGCTGGGATAGAATGGTTCGATACAAGGACGGAATGACCATATAGTATTTGTTGAATGACGCTTTCACCCAGGAACCAGAGAGAGGACCGCTGATTTCTGGAAGCCATTATGGCGACTGGCATTTCGATAATGATTATTGTTGGCGTCACACGATTGCGGAAAATTGGCTAAATGCCAAGAAAACGGCAGTGGTCTTGGCGCATAAATAAAAGTGGAGATTTACCGGCCCATTTATAAGAACAGGTTAAAGGCGCAGAGACCTCTTTTTAATTTTTTTTCGCACTGAGACCTCTTCAATTTGTTTGTCATTTAGCCAATTTTCCGCAGTGACGTCGACAGGAAAAAAATCGGAAAAACAAAAGTTCGATATTTTCTCGTATATGGAGCCTTTTTACAAAAAAAAACAATATTTTATTTTTTCCATATTTATTAATTCATGTCTCCAAAAATCATATAAACTAAATTCAGAAAATCGTAAGATTTTGCTGGATACATATTCATATTAATAAATTACCAGAAGATGGCAATTATGTATCCGAAAAGCAATTGAAAATTAATAGAGATTAGGTTTTTTTAATACATAATACTGATAATTTAAATTGGAATTACGAATTCTCCGATTAATGTTTCTCCCCAATTTCACGAGGTTTCTTTTTTTTTAACTTTTCGTCCTCCCGGACTTCCATCATCTGCTTCAGTTCGTTCATGAGCTGACGAGGTGTGGTATTCGGGTTGCTCTCCAATACCTGTAGCGCCCTCATTCGGAGATGTTGGTGTCCGTCTCTTCGCAATCCTGAGATGAATGCGATGCAAATGTGCTCATCTCTTGTAGCATTCTGGATCTCCGCGCGATCAAACTTCACATTGAGTTCATCGAGGTAATCCTCAATGTCGTCTTGAGTGCTGCCTCGAAATTCGGTGTTACTGAACTCGTAGCGCCGGCGGAACCGTGATGCCTGCGCGTTGAATCGCGTTTTGAGGACGTTGATGGTTTCCTCAAAAGAGAGATCACTTGGCTTACGTGGTGAGATGGAGCTTGTGAAACGGTTGTACGTGGCTGCATCCAATTTGGTGATGATCAGCCTTGCTCGTGAAGCTTCGTCCAGATCTTGTCCTTGTGCAGAGACAACATCTTCGTAGCGTGTGTACCACTCATCGAATGTTTTCCCAGCATCCCGATCATAGGAGAAAATCGGGATTTGACTCGATAAAGCATTGAAGAGTTTGCTTTTATCAAGTCCCGAGACTGGGGAAGAGCATTGACGTTGGGCTAGGACAGGTCCTACCAACTCACGAACCGCTGCCATTAGCGATTCGCGCTGCTCCGCTAGAATTCGACTGAGGGTATCGGCATCCATAGTGGTCGGTTAATCCTGATCGCCAGTTGTTGTGTCCTTGAGTTCCGCGTGTTTGGTGCCGAAGCGTGGGGATCGAAGTGAACAGTGATGTAGAGTTGGATAGCTTTATTATATCCTTAGATTGAACACTAAAATGTATGTTGGCCGGGTATTTATACTAGTGGGGATGTGCTTCTAGAATGTTCGACAATGCGCGTGTGGGGATATTTACGTGAGGCTTCTAGAATGTTCGACAATGCGCGTGTGGGGATGTTTACGTGAGGGACTGGGTTCTAGAATATTCCATAACCTACGAGATTACAATAGTTTACGTGAGTGTGCTCACAACACTTTTCAATATAAAAAAGGTTGGAAAGATCCACCAACAAATTTTTTTCCGGTCCAAAATTGCCGGAAAAATTGGCAAATGTCGTGAAATTGGCTTTCGTCTTAATTTTAGCCGTTTGTTTTATTATACAAATATTACAAGCTATTGGCCAACAATCGATTTGATTGGAAGCGAACGACGCAAAAATGGGCGAACACATATTCAATATTTGATTTTCAAAACTATATGTTGGTTTTTTGAGGTGTTCCCACTGAAAAACGTTGCCGATTTTCGGAAAGTCTGACTTCCGAGAAAAAATTTCTCGCAAATCACCGTTGTTGAGGAAAAGTTTCAATGTTCTTTTTTTCAGGATAGCAATAACAATACTTACTGGTATATAAATGGGTATTTGCGAAGGAAATCGATTATTTTCAAATCGAATTTTATACTATTACATTCGCAAAAAAACGAGCACCAGTGCACCGATTTACGACGAGTTTGATTCGCAGGTTTTCTAGATTCGACGGTATTCTAATTCCCACTGTTTAAATTCAAATTTGAATTACCGCCTTGAAAAAGTGCGATGGTCCACAATTATGCAAGCGGTCGTTTTTTTTTGCGATTGTGACATTTCTCATTTTTTAATTCTCATTCATTAACGGTTCTATTCGTTTTTTATACAGTGCGTTGCAGAATTATACGGCCACCCGCGAATTTTAGCACCACGTAATTATTTCGCCATTTTGAGAACAACCAGCGTGAATGTCGTATTCAGCATGAAAAATAACCTAAATGTATCATATTTTATGTTAGTATCTTCAAAAGTAACCGCGTAGTGGTGAAAAACCGTTTTTTCGAGCGGTGCAAAATTATAAACCCCCCCCCCATGAAACGGACTTTGAAACTTTGGCGGGACCAATGTGGTGCATAAAAATCGTTGTGTGGCTTTAAGAACATACAATGGTCCTTATTTTTCTTTTTTGACTCATTTTGAAATGCTCGTTTTTTTTTGCGATATATGGGAGATATTTCCTATTCTTCATTTCTCATTCAATTAACTTAAATTATCGGATTTATTCGTTTTTTATAATATGTAGAATGGACCAAATCTCGATTTTTTTTTGAGTAAAAAAACGCTTATTGCTCAGTGTTATTTTTGAGTTTTTTTCTATCAATTGCTTTTTTCAATTATTTTATATGATTTATTTGAAAAATTAGAACAATCTCTATCATCTAAGAGGAAATGAAAATTAATCGGACTCGAACATAATTTTATTTTTAATCAAAGTCGAATATAAATCAATCTATTTCAAATTATTTCAAAATTTTTATCGAACACTATTTCAAAATAGAAAATGAGAAACAAATAAATCTATTTAGAAGATTTTTGAATCAAAACTTTCTTAATCGAATTTCAATTCTTTTTCAATCGAATCAGGTTAATTTATATTTCATTTTCTTCTGATTTTCATTTATCTGAGAATTGGTACTCAAGTTTGTCATCTGTTCATATATTTATTCTGATTTCGATATTATAAATTATCTATTAATAATAAACGGACTAAATCATTTAAAAAATAATTATACCTTATGTCTCATTGAGTAATTAGCGAATTGACAACTCTTATTTTGTGCCCATCGATTAATATGAGATACATTCATCCATATAGTCTTTCTCCGAAAAAGCGGATTCCAGAATCCCTCCGTTGTGAGACTCAGCAAAAATTAATTGAAACCGCTGATTTATTTTTTCTTTTTCCATCTCTATCCAAGCAAATTTAATAAAATAACTCGATTTTGATGAACCTGCATTTTTCATTTGTCTTTTTTTGTGAATTCGGCAACATTTAACGTGTGTGAAAAGATTGCAATCTATAAAACGAACGCATCGCATAGTAAATGGCGCATGTCGGCGAAAATATTGCGAGGCATCTTGGTGTTTGTACGTCGAAATGAGGTTGAGGAAGAGACGAGTCGAGTTAATGGACGTCTATAAATCTCATCATTGGCACTCGTCGTCGATCGACGGAGGTCGAAAGTCGCAAGTTGGACTCACTCGATTCGGTTTCTCCGATGTTGCGAAAATCGCTGGCCGCCGTCACCAATTTATCAACTTTTCGCGGCACATCACCTGGAATCTAACGAGCCCTCTTTGTTTTAGCGCAGATGCAACATATGATAGAAGAAAAATGGGTTTTTGGATGAACCAGCTGCTCGGGCACCGCCAAATCCAAGAAATATCGAAGAACGCCTAAACAATGATGTTTGATCCATTAATCAAAAATACTTACGAGTTGTTGTTTTTGTTATATTCGAAAAAATCCGATTAAAAATGAAAAAAAGCGAATCGAAAATCGTCAAATGTGATGCCATCGGTTGCAGACACACTCACGCCAAATTGCACACATTTTTATTTTGAAAAAACGATTTAACACACAAAACTCGTGATGTTTTAATTGAAAACGTCGTGCGAATGCGGAAAATTGGCGAAATGCCAAACAAATTTCAGGAGAGGTCTTCACACGCTTTTGCGTCTTCAACCTATTCCCCCGTAAATCTACACATTCCGTTATACGCCAAAATCGCCGCCATAATTTCTTTTTTTTTTGTATTTTCGTGCAAAGTTAACAACACGTTAGCATTTAAAAATATTTCTATTTGATAGAATTCGATGTCTCGTATAAAACTTCTCTCGGTGTGCTCAACCAGAATATTTTCGTTGCATATTATAATTGAATAGATTCTATTTTTAATTCGATCAGCGGCAGAGTCTAAATTTGTTTATAAACATTTTAGACGAGCTCAAATTTCGAATGTTTCAGATTTCAATTGAAAATTCTAAACACGCTATTCGTTTTAAACCACAAATGATCGGAAATAAAATTCAAGAAATCGAAAATATTAATTTTTAACAACAAATAGTTGATTATCAATCAAAATTTTAAGCAAAAACGTCGCAGTTTACCATAAAAAGCTTATTTTCAATCAAATTTTGAAGCAATGCATTTTTTTCGTATGAGAGTTGGTTGCAAATTACAAAATGATTGCTGATTTGTCGACATGTTCATAATAAAGGCTTCGAATTTGGCATATTTCCAATAATAATTTCATAAATCTCTTATATCACATGTCTAAACTTCTATTTTTCCAGCAAAATCCGTATTATCTTTGATATTCAATTTTGATTGGAGAGGTTTGGAAAAAAAACATTGCTCTTCAGTCAAAATTTTTCACTTTTTCTCTCACATTGCATGTCGGATTGAAGGGGAATAAAGCAAATAAAAAAAACAGAAAATAAAGGACTTAGTTTGAAATAAAATGATGCTTGATTCTTTGTCCTGCCTGTATACGCGAGCTTATAATCACTCGAATCGATATGAGCTACGCAAACAGTCAGGACAATGAGATAAGCAAACCGAGACCATCGAACGAATATCAGTGGAATAATGATGGGTGAAGTTGTTTGGTGTGAATGTTGTGATGGTGCACACCAAACACAAACACACTCGTCGTCTTTGTGTCGACGCGGCAGTGGCGTAGAACAGGTGCTATCGACCCCCGCGAAACTCCGCCCATTCGACGATGAATACCACAACCGCCGGCAAATGCGATTTCAACTGCGGACAAATTTCGAGTTTGTTGCGAGAGAGCAAATTGCTGCTCAATTTGTGTGTCGAAAGACGCGCGCGATAAGAGCCACCAACGACGAGTTGCTCTTATCAGAAGAGGCCGAATTCAAAACAACAAAACCGTCGAGGCTAGAAGACAGACGATCTAGTGGATTTTCGAGGAAAACCAATCGGGTGCTCAACACTTCATAAATCTTGAAATGATTCGACCCAAGGGAATAAAACCAGCAAGAAATGTTGCCAAGAATATGGAAATGAAGGCGCGGCAAAAAAAATAAGAACGCGGGAGAGCAATAAAATCAATCTGCGTGTCCGCGAAGGGGTGCATTCTCTCGATAGGTGGCGACTATCGAACCTAAATTTTACGACTATGCAAAGGTCAGATGCCTCTAAAGATTTGTACCAACATATCATCATTCGACGATTAATCCAAAACGATATTGTGCTCTATGAATATACTATTTTAAAGAGGGGGGGGATACTTTTTTCGCAAAATGTCCGCAATTGGGAATAATCATATTTTCTCTTAAATGTCCCTTATAATTTGTGGATTTGTTGTAATCTAATCTATGAGCACGACATAATTAGCTGACGAGCTCCCAACAATCATTGATTCGGATCGACTGAGAAAGACGAGTAGTAGATTGTTTTAGTGGATAAATATCGTTGTTTGGCATGACCGATTAGTCGGACTAATGATCGAAGGGGTGTCGAAATCGACACCAACACCCCTCGCCAACAATGATTTTATCGGGGCGGCATGCGTTGTGCCGAAATGCAAACTTGCTAGGATTCGTTGCCCTCTCAAATCACGCTCTATTTGCGTTTGAGGCTGTTCGGTGCGCTTAAAACGCAACATCCAATCCGAATATGGTAATAAATCGCAGTCGGGCGTCGTAAAACGCGGTGATTTCGCCGGTTTATTGCTCAAACTTATGTGTTTTGCGGCCGACCGGCTAGTCGAATTCCGAAATAAATCCCGAACAAATAATTGCTACTCGAAATTGTTACTA